ATAAGCAGCTTACAGGCCTTAATGGCCTTACTGTTAGCGAAGCAAGGGAGGCATTCCAACGCGAGTATAAAAAGGATGAAGCCCTTTAGATTGAGGATCAGAATCAGCCTCGCCGCCGGGTACCTCCCAGGTGCAGCGAGTGCGGTGTTTAAGGACATATACGTACAAGGTGTCCAAACCGAAGAACTGTGTAAAAAGATGTTTAAAATAGTGTAATTAATGCTTCAAAACACCATATATTTGTATACAAATCAAGAATCCATGTTGGTGCTGCATTTGGTGGATCTGCTGGCTCGCTCGCTTGCGTGGCTCGCTCGGCTGACGATTACGTTACTCATCCGTGACTGACTAATGAGACTGATTCGAACCCCTCCGCATAGTCGTCCCAAAAGTCGAGCATCGCCTGAACAAATCACAATCGACAGGTAGAAACTGTGCCTGACTAGTCGGTTCGTCATCCACGGTTACGGCGCCGATGGGAAACAAAAAAAAAAAACTTCCCACTCCATCATAAGATTCATTACCCTACTAATCCACGGCGCACTAAACCCATTACTCTCAGGTTCCTTCATGCAGGTACCCCGGCAGTGGGCACAGTGGGTGGAAAAGGACCTCGAACTGCTTGTCTCCGGTGGGGATCAAGGAACAATGATCCATGAACTGGGCTCGTCACCACTAGTTCAACCACCGAACCGCAAAATCTCGATCATATCGTCGGATGTTCGATTTCCCCTTAGTTCCCCATTCAGTCCTGGTCTGGTCTGAAGTTTTCCCTCCCGAGGAAACAACAACAAAAAAAAAATAGAATAGGGGTAAAAATGCTCAATCTACGGAGTAAACTAGAAGAACAATAAGCCTAATTGGCGGAAGTCCACAAACAAACAAACAAACAAAAGGAACCCCCAAGAAAGAAGATGCTCCATCTCAACATTGTGTTGGCGAGAACTCGTACCATTGCATCACAGTGCTAATGCAAGTATAACCTAAATACGCCTAATTTCAATTCATTAGAAGTCGGCAAGGCCCTAAGCACAACGCGTTACTTAAACTCCCGTATACTAAACTGCGAAACCACTAACTACTAACCCGCACTTGTTCTATTTTTACGTGTGATAAGAAATTCAGGCACAAAATCAACACGCGTGATCATGCTTCATTCAAGTGTTTGTAGATTAGCGCTATGTGACTGACTGGAGTCAACCACTGGGGAAACGGCTTTCGCTATATCTCCATGCATGTTGAGAATCCCCAAACATGCTAAACGAAGCGATCTGTCTCAGGTTTGGGGGTCCCCCTTCTCAAACATTAGCTCGTCTCGGAGAATTCGCCATATCTGGAACAATCCCACGCTAAGGGTACGTGCTTCGCAGCCCCGGTCCAAGGGTGGGCAGAATAAGGTTTGTGCGATCAAGTTAGGAGTTCGATAGTAGACTCAACGTCGCAGGCTGAAGGTCCGCTCCATCTAGGTACACTCAACACGAGAGGAGTTGCGGTGAGGGTTCTGTCATTCTTCCAACTTGGCGCGAGTCAGGAACACTGGAAACATCCTATCACGCCGTCAATGGAGGCGTTCGTTCTCGCAAATAGGGGTCAAGGCGAGCTGGTGAAACAGATTCGCAGTTCGAGGCCACTCGCGTGGTCGGAAGCAACTACAGCCCCTCTCTTCGCGGACAATCGATACTGAGGCAAGCATACGCCCTGAGCCGGAGGCACTATGCACAGCGGTAGCGTGTTTTGGATGCAAGAGGTTCGAGGGAATGTGGACGCGATGCATGTCATGCGTAGGTGTCAGGTGTCATGGGCCAGAATCGACAACTAGCGACGTCCTCTGCCTCTGCCTCTCCCTCTCCCTCTGCCTCTACCGCCGCCCCTGCCTCTGCTGCTTGACCGGCCTGATGCTTGGATAGCGGCTACGTCATGTTTGCTCAGGTTCAGAGTTCCACCTGCAAACTTTCCGATCGAGGGCCCTCCAACACCACGTTCTCGCCGTTTGTCGCTGCTGGTGTTCGACTTAGGTGCCGGCTTTTCGAGAATAATTCCATTTTCTCTGGCTTCCTTCCGACGTTTGTTTTCTTTCATTTCCGCCTTAGCTTTGATGCCTCTCCGGTGAGAAGATGGCATCATTTGCTTGTACAAGGACTCTTTAGATCCTAGTTCCTGCATTCGCAAATCAAGAGCTTTGATGCGATTCTTGCCGGTCGGAGCAAGATCGGACGCTGAGTCGAGAAGGTGAGATTCCTTAAGGAGACGTTGCAGTGCGAGATCGTTCTTCAGATGGTCCGCATCAATTTCTTTGTCATCGTTGTCATCGCCGGTATCTTTCTTCGGCGTTTTGGTCGTGGTTCGCTCGGAGATTGAGGATGGCGGTTTGGCGGTCTGCACCAGCGTTAGGAGACTCGATTTCAATGGGCCACCAAGTATGTCCTACCATGAAGGCCTTACGAGCTTTCTTGTCCATCAAGTCCTGAGACTTTACGTCCCGATGCTCAATTACTTGGACTTCCTCTGGCTCTTCTTCGTCTCCGCTCATACCATCCCAATCCGACTCCGCATCGGAGGCCTCCAAGTCTTCCTCGTCGCTTTCATCTTCTGAGTCATCGCTGCGGGCTACCTGACCCCCGGGTACATCCAACGGCTGGAATTGAGCTTCGAAGAATTTGCGGAAAATGTCCTGGGAGGACTCAGCGGTTGTCTGCGGCGTCTCCTCGTCATCTGAAGTTGTAGCTCTCGACACAACGGCCGTGTCCCTCTTCCGTTTCCCAATCATCTTTATAAATCCTTGTATTGCTGAACAAATGAGCGTGGGGAACCCAAAGCCTTAAGTATAGAAAAGCCACGAGAAAACAAAAAAAAAAAAAGGCCCATGCGATTGAGATCCAGAAGACTAGCCGCAAAAATGCGCTTATGTCAGCCATTATCGTGTGCTGTCACGTGCGATAAGATAGGCCCGACCCCTCGTCGCGTCGGATTTCACAGATTATAATCGAGTTCGTAGTGCGCCGCGGCAATTCCAAGAAGGCACTGAACAAATCATTGAATCCAAAATGACCAAATTTCGCCCTTGCATCGATCTTCACTCGGGGCAAGTCAAGCAGATCGTGGGCGGAACCCTAAGCAATGTTGCCGCCGATCTGAAGACGAATTATGTCTCCAAGCTCCCCGCCGGCCACTACGCTGAGTTATATCGGCAGCACGATTTGCGCGGCGGGCATGTCGTGATGCTGGGCCCAGGCAACGATGAGGCAGCGCATGAGGCACTCCGAACCTGGCCCAACGGTTTGCAAGTTGCTGGAGGGATCACCGATAAGAACGCTCAGTACTGGATTGACCAGGGTGCCGAGAAGGTGAGCCTCTATGTCCGCGCTTGCTGTCTCACAGCGGGAACCCAGCCTGCAGCTCAGCTGCAGGTATCGCTTCCCTCACGGTCCTCTGATGGGATCGATTTCACTTCATCTATTCTTGTTTTCTGCCTGGATTTCACTGTGTCTGGCACTAGCAGCGTGCAGCCTTGTCATGACTGACCCAATCTCGTAGGTGATCATTACATCATTCCTCTTTCCAGAGGGCAAGTTCTCGAAGGAGCGACTTGAATCCGTTCTTTCTGCCCTTGGAGGCGATCGATCAAAGCTGGTCTTGGATTTGAGCTGCCGTAGAAAGGACAATACGTGGTTTGTAGCCATGAACCGCTGGCAGACCATTACCGAGATGGAGATCAACCAAGGCAAGTTCTTGCACATGAATTCCATTGACTCGCTCGCCCATCCTTGCTCGTCTTTGAGGCAGGAGTGGACAGGTGTTAAATATGCCTGGCGATTGCAGTCCCTGTGCTATCGTTTTGCTACTGTCTGAGCCAGGCTGTAAGACTAACTGAAGCAGAGTCGATCTCATTGCTGGAACCTTACTGCTCCGAGTTTCTCATCCATGCTGCTGATGTAGAGGGGCTGCAGCAGGGTGTCGATGAAGAGCTCATCGCCAAACTAGCCCAGTGGTGCACAATCCCTGTCACCTATGCCGGTGGCGCTCGCAGTTTGCAGGATTTGGAGATGGTTCATGCCAGCAGTCAGGGGAGGGTTGACTTGACCATTGGAAGTGCCTTAGACATCTTTGGTGGCTCTGGGGTAACGTTCGATGAATGTATAGAATGGAACAAGGCGCATTAGTTGGGCATCCAGGGAAATACCTCCCAGATCCAGGACAGCCGATTATGTCTGAGCCGATGTACATATATATACACCCCCAAGCGGCCAGAAACAAAAAAATATACTATTTAGCAGCGTTTAATGTTACCATTAATGGTTACCCTCAACTCAATTACTCACAAAGTACTATTATTCTCAACAGACTGCGATATTTCACTGACAGACATGTGTACAACACATAGTGTACACCTCTGTCTATAGTATCCTAATTCCCCAGTGGAATGAGGCGGCCACTCGTCGCAGGTCGAGACGACCGGAAAGACCATCGGTGCCGAATGCGGCCTAGCGTTGACCGCACCAGCACCCGCACCGCCGACTTCCTCGACATCACAGCTTCTCCAACTGAATCTCAGCCCTGCTTCAATTCTATCTCGCTCTCTTCATCTGTCTGCATCTTGCTTGTTTTAAAATTAGATCCCGCACAATATAAGAGTATATTTACCCTCAGCCTATTCCTATACAGCTTGACCGGCCCGATCCACCCTCCTTCCTACCTTTCGTATCGTCAGCCTACACGCTATCGCCCCCTCCTCAGCCCACAAGATGAAGCCCGTCGTATCTTTGTTGAACGCTTGGTCCTGGTAAACTCAGATCCCTCAAGCTGCAACACCTCAAGTATCCATTTGAGATAAGTGACTGAACATACCTAGCGTGGTCATCTCTCTCTTCGCCATCGTCATTCTCTCAGTCCTCGGATCGCTATTCCAAGTATGGCACTTATCTCACTTCCTACCACGAGACTCCAGCCGCTTCACACCCCGCTCAAATAAACCGCCCCGACTAACCCCGGACACAAACAGAGAGAACACCACAGCTTCACCGGTGGTGAAGAAGAGCCCGAGAATGGCGCCGCAGTCGCTGCCTCCATCTACACCGCTGTCCTTGTATACGTCGTACGTCCCACCCACCCACATCCATGATTCCACCCAGCTCCTGCCAGACCAGAAGAGAATCACCCATGACAGATGCTAACGTACGGTCTATTTTCCTCGCTTCCTACAGGCCTTCTTCGTTTTCTGCGCCTTCCAGGCCTACCTGCACACGAGAAGCCGCAGGGGCGGCGCCATCTCTTTGAGCTAAATCCACAACACACACCCGGTTTTTCCGAAATCCTCCCCTGCTCTTATGTCTTCCACAAACCTTATTCCCGCCCTATACTACGCACCGTGTTTTATATCCTTATCTTGAAATGAACGTCGTTTACAACTGCGTGTGGGCTTGCTTTGTCGGGTTCGCGGATCCGGGGGATCATGGTTCTTTGCTGATTTAGGCGCTGGCTGCTGCATCGTTCGATCCCCTTTTCAAAGAAGTTGCGTGCCTGTGTGTCATCTTCCTCTCCGGGGGTTAGAAGATTGAATCACGAGCTGCCTTGCTATACAGGCCGCATTAGGGGATTTTATTTGGTTGGCATCTGGTCCTCGGCGGCGGGGGAAGGGCACCTGAACCGCCGCTATCCGCTTCTTCCTCGAGCGAAGTGCCCGATCCTCTTTTCACTCCCATTTTTGGTGATATTGTTCGCTTGTTTATTCTTCATAGACCCATGAAGATGGTGTATGGTATGGTATGTCTGTATATAGTACGTTTAGTCCTGTGAAAGAGCGCGTGTTGCTGCTTCCGTGTCGGTTACTTCTGCTCCTGCTTATGTATCTCCCCGGCATCCAATCCATCTAGCCATTGCACAAGTCCTTTCTAAACCACCGCCTATGCGTTATTGTTGTAGAGGTATAGACTCCAAACTCGCCACTTTCTTTTCTGATTAGATAGATACAACGCATTCTATAAGTCATTGGCACCCCTGTAAGCAAGTAGGCCATCCACGTCGCTCTTAAAACCTAGCCAAAAATATGTAAGGCAGAAGGAAAAAAAAAAAAAAAAACAGCCGCCGTAAATCGCTTTTCGTTTCGAACAACAACACTCCTTTAAACGCCCCGATGCGCGGACCAACCCATGGCCTAGAGAAAACAAGCACTTTTGGACAGATAATACAGACCTCGGGAATCTCTTTCAACCGGAGGCAATGGGATCATGAAAACATCAGCGATCTCGCTCGGGGAGAGATCAGAAGAACTCCTCATCTTCGATTAGATCCAGCGTCTTGGACATGTACGGACCGTCCAGGGAGTAGCCCAGACGAGCGTAATAGCTGCGGACACCTACGCCGGAGATGACACTGATCTTTTGACTGCCGTGCTCCTCACGGGCGATCCGCTCGGCCTCCTCCATGAGCAGAGTGCCGAATCCGCGGTGCTGGAACTTGCGGGGATCACGGCCGTGGAGGGGCACCGCCGAGCCATAGACGTGCAGCTCCCGGACAATACTGGTCTGCTGGCCGGTGAATTCGGGGCGGAAGGTGTGCGTGGCGCTGCACTTGCGGAGGCGCAGAAGACCGATCAGGATATCCTGCTTAGGGTCCTCGTAGGCCAGGAAGGTCTCCCAGCCCCCGTTGGCGTAGTAGTCCCGACGAACCAGCTCCACTTGCGAAGGTCGGATCTTGTTCTTGACCTCGTTGATGCCCACCTCTCGGGTCCGGACATCGCGACAGGTCGTTCCAAAGTCCTTCATGCGGGCCAAGGCGAGCTCGCGCAGGTTGCCGTTCTCGACACCGGAAGTGACGAGCGGCATGGGGATGTCGCGCTGGACACGGTAGATACGAGTCCACGGGGGCACCAGGGCAAGAATACGGGCAACGAGGTCGATCAGCGCGTTCGGGGTGTAGTTCTTGTACCGACCGGTTCTCCATAGCTCGTAGAGACCGGTTCCACGAATGACAAGGGTGGGGTAGAGCTTCAGACCGTCGGTCCGGAAAGCTGGGTTTTCGAAGTATTCCTGGAACTGGAAGAGATCGCGCTCCATGCCCACGTTGGGAAGATCGGGCATCATGTGGCTGACCACCTTGAAGCCGGCATCCTTTGCGAGCTTGAAGGTTTCCGCCACCGCCGCGACAGTATGGCCTCTGTTCGTGTCCCGGGCAACATCCTCGTACAGACTTTGGACTCCAATCTCCAGTCGCGTGCAGCCATAGCGCAACATACTGCTCAGATGAGTGTCGAGACAGTAGTCCGGACGGGTCTCGATGGTGATACCGACGCACTTGATGTTACTCATCTCACCAGCCTGCACCGCTTCGTCGACGTTGTCTGTTTGATAGCCACTCAGAGCGTTATGAAGCTGGGCCACAAACGATTCTCTGTAGTCTTCCGGAAGAGACATGAACGTTCCACCCATGATGATATATTCCACCTTATCCACGCTGTGGCCGAGGGACTTGATCTGATCAACACGCCCTCGAGCCTGTTCGAAAGGATCATAGCGGGCACGGATGGCGCGCATCGAGGTGGGCTCGTAGCCAGTGTAGGACTGCGTCGAATACTCGAAATCGGAATCGGGGCCACCGGGGCAATAGACACAAATGTTTCCGGTGTATGCGATATGGGGACAACGGTGGGGTTTGCTCATGACGGCGACGACGGCAATACCGGAGGAGGTTCCTAGCGGCCACTGTTTAGTATCTGCAGACGGCATACCTCGAGAAGGCACGAAACAACATACGGATTGGTTTGGCAATCAATTTGGGAAGGATATATTTCTTGTAGTGCTCGGGCACTGCCGCGATAATGGCTGTCAATGGGGGTTGAGTGGACAGGGCATGCTTTTTGGCGATTTGACCCCGCAGCTTGTTGAGGTTGATATCTTTGCGGGGCTTCGTGGGATCCCTCTGTGATTCATGGTCTTGAATTAGGGCATTCGCGATATCAGAACAAGCTCGCATAAAACGTTCATTCTCTGAGGGAAGTTTGGCATTTTTCTTGGGCTTCGAGGATGGTGGCGGCATAGTCATGGTGACGGTCGCCATCTTGGGTTGGGTTGGAGATGCGGGCGACGGTCGCGCAAATGGAATTGCGGAGGTTATTCTTCAAATTAGTAGCGGCGCCCGTGAAGATCGCTCGCTCGCTCGGGGTCCAAGAATATAGTTTAGTGAGTGAGTGAGCGACAATAATAATAAGAATAATAATTATAATGATTGGAATAACCACTGGATAAGTGGTGACTGGTGACTTGTAACTTGTGACTCGGGTATGGCACGCGGCAAGCGTGGAAGGGAAAGGGAAAAAAAAGCGGGAGGACCGAGGGTGAGTAAGTAAAGTAAAGTGACTGAGAGAGACAGAGAGCGAAAACCGACCGCCCGTGACAATTCGGATCCCGCTTAAAGCTTTGTCCCGAAAGTTCCCAAATCGCGTTTCTGAACCGGCCTCTTCCCTCTGTATACCCTCCTAATTCAACCCTCCCTCTCCCAGGACCACTCATACCTTTTCGAGTGCTTCTTTATATCCGTCCCCTCTCCTCTCTTTTTTTCTCCCCGGTTCCTTTTTCTCCCCCCTCCAAGCCAAAATGCAGGCCTTCCGCCGTAACACCGCTTCTGCTCTTCGCAATGCTGCTGCCACGCAGCGCCGGGGATACGCAGCTTCAGCTAGCTCCATCTACTCTGAGACCGTCAACAACCTTCGCATCAACTCGGACACCAAGGTGATCTTCCAGGGCTTCACTGGAAAGCAGGGAACGTACGTATTTTGTTCCATTTTGGAAAGCTTGTCAAGGTTATATCGCTGACGTTGCTTTTTTCCCGTCCGGGTGCAGTTTCCATGCCGAGCAAGCCATTGCCTACGGTATTAATTTCTCCAGTTCCTCTCCCTATCGGCGCATGCGCCAAGCGGATTAGAACCCTCTAAATGATCACGTACGCGAAACTCACAACTGCCAGGCACCAAGGTCGTTGGTGGAACCAACCCTAAGAAGGCCGGATCCCTGCACCTCGACAGACCCGTTTTCGCCAACGTGAGCGAGGCTGTGAAGGAGACTGGCGCCACTGCTACTGCGCTTTTCGTTCCGTAAGGACCCGGTGTTGTTGATTGCAGATTTCCATGTGAGGTGCTAATGGTTGCAGTCCCCCATTGGCTGCCAAGGGTATCGAGGAGGCCATCGAGGCCGAAATCCCTCTGGCTGTCTGGTACGTACCTTGGTGAACATCCGGAAAGTGGGTTGGCGCTGATCTTGATATAGTATCACCGAGGGTATTCCTCAGCACGGTATGTTCTCTTGGATAAGCGAGCGCGTTAGATCCCTGTTCGGGTCGGATTACTGATAAACGAGTGCTCAGACATGGTCCGTATCACGGACATCCTGAAGACGCAGAACAAGACCCGTCTGGTGGGTCCTAACTGCCCTGGTATCATTGCTCCCGTAAGTACTCAAGCCCCCAAGCCACTAGTGATCCCTGGTAATAACATCTGGTGTTATTCGATGCGCTAGGGCCAATGCAAGATTGGTATCATGCCCGGATTCATCCACAAGCGTGGCCGTGTCGGTATCGTCTCTCGTTCCGGTACCCTGACCTACGAGGCCGTCAACCAGACCACCCAGGCCGGTCTGGGTCAGTCTCTGGTTGTCGGTATCGGTGGTGACCCCTTCTCCGGAACCAACTTCATCGACTGCTTGAAGATCTTCCTCGAGGACCCCGAGACCGATGGTATCATCATGATCGGTGAGATCGGTGGTAGCGCTGAGGAGGACGCCGCCGAGTTCCTCAAGGCCAACAACAAGTACAACAAGCCTGCTGTTGGTTTCATTGCCGGTATCAGTGCTCCCCCGGGCCGCCGTATGGGTCACGCCGGTGCCATCGTCAGCGGCGGCAAGGGTGGTGCCGACTCGAAGATCTCTGCCCTGGAGAAGGCTGGTGTCATTGTCGAGAGAAGTCCCGCTGCTCTTGGCAAGGCCCTGTTGGCCGAATTCGTCAAGAGGGACCTGGTCTAGATTAAGTGATCATCACTTTGCACCCGGCGGAGATATGACATAATCCTGCAGCGTCTTTTTCTGGATGGTATGAGCGATTTTCTTGTCTTTATCAATCAGGCAGACATGTGAAGGAGGTCGTGCTTCCGCTCATCCTTTCCATTTATCATTTAGACGATTTTTTCTCCTTATTTGCCCGAGCCATGGTGGCTGTTCTGTATTTTCTATCTGATCTCTTATCCCCCTCGTCGATATATTTCCTTTGTTTAGAAGATGCAAGGCAGTAATTAGGTCTGGTATGTAAATTTGATTTCTTATCCACAGGCCCACGTGCGGGAGAATTCTTGTAGGCACCACCATTAAATGAGCATCGGCCAAGACGGACGGCTTTTTGATGCGAGTCTCTGCCACGGTATTCTGGTGTAGATCGGCCTAGCCACACACAAGACGGCCAACCTCTTTGACTTATCCTAGACATGACGCATGGCGCTTCTCGTCTCCATTCGAGGACCACAAACAGCAGCGATTCTCACATGAAGGACCCGAAAGCCGTTTGGTCACGGTCGATGCCCGAAAGCTCGATTCTCGGCTTCCCGAGCCTGCCGTCCGACGTCCAAACAACTCCGAGCAGATCCACCAAGTCCAGTACTAATGCAGGAGCCATTCTCGTGGCAGAAAATAATCGTGTACCGTAAAAAAAAGAAAAGAAAAATTCTGACACGCAGCGGATGGGTTGATGTAA